TAAAAGACTACAGCCTTCAATATGAATACACCTCCATATAAAGAAAACAAAAATTCTCACAACTAGACTAATAAAAAACATCATGATAATGGAAAAAATATTGAAGGTGTATTTTTGCTTGGATCCACAATCAACGCCCATGAAGTCAAAAGTCAAGAATTTAAATGATGTATGTTGTTGTTGTTAAGGGCTGTCAAATCAGTTCTGACTCATAATGACTCTGAACAGGGTTTCCAAGGAGCAGGTGATGGGTTTGAACTGCTGACTGGTGATTCACAGTCTAGTACTGATCCTACAATACCATACCAGGATTCCAGTAGTGATCCTACAGCACCATGCCAGGAGTCCAAATGATGTATTGTTCTTGTTGTTAGGTGCCATCAAGTGGGTACAGACTCATAGCGACCCTATGCACAGCTGAATGAAACACTGTCTGGTCCAGGGCCAACCTCACATTGTTGCCATGCTTATGCCCATTGATGCTGCCACTTTACCAGATGATGTATTATTGTTGTTGTTGGGTGCCATTGAGTTGGTACCAACTCATAGTGACGCTACGTACAACTGAATGAAACACTGCCCAGTCCTGGGCCAACCTCACAATTGTTGCCATGCTTGAGCCCATTGATGCTGCACTTTGCCAATTAATCTCGCTGGGGGTCTTCCACTTTTTCTCTGACCATCCACCTTACCAAACATGATATAGTTCTCCAGCGATCGGTTCCTCCTGACAGTATGTCCAAAGTATGACAGATGAAGTTTGGCCATCCTGGTCTCCAAGGAGCACTATGGCTGCATGTCTTTCAACACAGATCTGTTTGTTCTTTTGGCAGCCCATGATGCTTTCAATATTCTCCTCCAACACCATAACTCAAAAACATCAATTCTTCTATGGTCTTCCTTATTCACTATTCAGCTTTTGCATGCATATTAGGTTATTGAGAATACCATGGCTTGGGTCAGGTGTACCTTAGTCCTCAAGCTGACATCTTGTTGCTCTTCAACACTTTAAAAAGGTCTTGTGCAGCAGATTTGCCTAATGCAATACATTGATTTCTTGACTGCTACTTCCATGAGTGTTGATGGTTGATCCAAGAAGAATGAAGTACTTGACAACTTCAATCTTTTCTCCATTGATAAGAATGTTGTTTATTGGTCCAGGGGTGAGGATTTTTGCTTTCTTTACATTGAGATGCAATCCATACCGAAGGCTGTGCTCTTTGATCTCCATCAGTATTTTAAATCCTCTTCATTTTCAGCAAGCAAGCTTGTATCATCTGCATATCGCAGGTTGTTAATGAGTCTTCCTCCAATCTTGATGCCATGGTTGTATAGTATTGGATAAATCTGAAGCAAAAAAAAACTATTTAAAATGCTAAAAAGAAAAGATATCACTTTGAAGACTAAGGTGTGTTAACCCAAGCCATGGTATTTTAATCACCTCATTGAAAAATGTACATGCAAAAGCTGGACACTGAATAAGGATGACAAAAGAAGAATTGATGCTTTTGAATTATGGTGTTGGTGAAGAATATTAGTTATACCACAACATCTTGCAACAACATAGTGTACAAAGTGTGCCATTCATTAAAAATGATGACAATATATTAATAATTTTAACACATCTATACTTATACCTTTGGGACATTTACTAGGGAAATAAAACCATAGTGAAAAACATGCAAATGCTTCTGAATGTTTCGTTTATCTTTTGAGAAACTTCACATGAAAACTATGTTATCAATTGTCTCTGACAAATCCTAGCTATAAGAAACTAACAAAAAATTACTCTGTATGGCTAATTATAAATGATGTACCATGATGATTCAGTGTAATTTTTTTTTAATTAAACAGAAAATTTCAGCCCTGATATTGCCAGGCTTTACAATTAAATTTTGCATTAAAAATTGATACAAAAGTACAAAAACATCTATTATAACTGTCTTCATAGAACTGTTGTCAGAGCTGGAAGGAACTTAAGCCGTCTTCTGATCAGCTTCAGTCAGGGCTTGAAAAATTGACCTGCTCAACATTAATGACACAATTCTTGGCTATATCTACATTCTAGGTCTCCATCATTTTATTTCTAACCCATAGTTCTTTGTCTAATAATATTGAGACAACTGTGTCTCTTTTATAATTTACCACACATAGTTCTTGTAAAGCTATTTGAACAATTTCTTTAAATAATTGACATGTTATACCATGAACTTGCTTATCAGAATTTCTTTTAGAACAGTGCAAAAATATGGTCAATTAAAAAAAAAACAAAAAAAAAAAACTTAAAGAGTCTGCTACATCAGAGATTTTCAAAAAAATGTTTTTTTTTCTTTTTTATAAATGACTGAACTAAACTTTAATAAGTATAGAGATACAACAAAATTACACTGTTCTCAGAACGATGTGATCGAAATTCATTAAGTCTAGAAAGTGTCTGTACTCATTTCATTACCTGTGAATAGGCAATGTTTCCTGCCTCGTTTGCCTGTTTCCTTCCTTAAATATATATCGTGTTTCTATAATGATTCTATATTTGTTTTGTAGATCATATATTTCCTTTCATATTAGTGAATATATATATTTATCATCTGTTCACACACACCTGCTATTACATTCTAGTACTAATAAAACCCCAATACATTTCCTATAGTAATGTGATGCTGTGTAAAGTCTAGTAAAGTTAACTAGGGGATTTTGTAATGCACATGTGGAGGAAGACACTGTAATGCTTAGTACTAGTAAAAGTACAGTCACAGAGAAAAAAATAATGAAAGACATCTTGCTTTGATTTCAATGTTTTTTTCTTACCTACAACCCAAATATCAACTGCAAAAATTCCTGATCCAAGATTTTTTTTCATGCAAAATTGCTAATGCTTTGTTACCTGATCAAAGTCAAGATTACTTACATTTCAAAAGTTATCAAGGCTGCAGTAAGGTGGAGGGCCAGAGACCACCTTGTGACCTGATGTCAGTTGAGCACAGTAAGAGTGGACAGTGTTCAGTCAATCATGCTAAGATTACCCGTTAGTTGATCTATTCTCCCTCTTCTCTTTTTACATTTTACTGTAACTAGTTTACTTTCAGCCATTTCTTTTTTCTTTTCAGAATGGTCTCCCTATATAATACAGAAAAACTGCTCAGAATAAATCTTTCAATTTCTCCAAGTTTTGATTCTTTTAAATAAGTCTAATTATTTCTTTGTCCTCTAAGGATTCAAAAATAATCTAACAGGCTGATCATTCAAAATTACTTTAATCATCTTGTTGTTTATAATGTAGATTTTATTTTCATTTTTAAAATAAGCAGGTAAGTGATCTCCCAGCAGTAAACAATTGTCCTTGATATGTAGTCTTGGTGTGGTGCTGCAGATTAATGTTCTGGATTGCAACTCAACTTGGAATCTCAAGGACAGACGCTCATTGGAAACCCTATTCAGGGTTGTAATATGTTGGAACTGACTCGAAGCACTTAACAACAGCAACATTGCAGTCACAGAGATATTCTAATTCTATACCCAGTAATAATTCATTATAAGAACAAATATTTAATATTTTATTACTTATAATTATTTTAAAACTATAACGGTAACTGGAAGCAAGTCACTTATTTTACATTTTGAAAATAGAGGTTAAGCCTTGTATTCTTGTGAAATAGTAATTTTTTATAGTTGACAGATGCTGCTCCTTAGTTAATGGAAGGTCTCAAGTTTTACTCTGCATCTCATTGGAAAGGAAATATAATTTTTTAAAATAGAATTTACTTGGGAGAAGGCATCAGTACTGCAACTCTTAGCACCAAATGTTTCTTCTTGGAGCACCAAATGCTTTAAGGAAAACATTCCAAGTATCAAAGTTTTCAGATAGATAAATATTTATGGATCAAATCCATAAAGAACAGACATTGTTATGAAATATATATAGATGCCTTCAAAATTTTCTTTCTAGGCAGAGGAGACACATAAGTTAGAAGTCATTTCCCACTTAATTGCTTTGCAACCTTATGCAACACAAACGGATTATGGATAAAGACTTATTCATTTGTACACAGAGAATAACTCCTGATTGACATCATGCCCAGAAAATAAAACAGAAACCATTCCTATATATCAAATATCAAATACCACTTAATTTATAGAAATGGCTTTATTCTAACCATTTATTCTCCTGAATGAAAATTATACTGATTTATGATCTTGTTCTTTGGTGAGAAAACAGTATTCTTTAAAACAAACTATTATAATTTGCTAGTCAGTGTAACAAGAGAAAGTCATAACACAGATCTGGTTCATATTCTTGAGTGGCAAGAAATCCCATCTGTCTTTGAACTTTATATGTGACTTGTTTTTCAATCTACATATAGGCCATTGACTCCCTCCTTTCAAGGAAGCACTTCATAGTGGTATCAGAAGTTCTCCTAATTTGTGTTAGAATTTACAAAAAGGTGTTTTACCTTTTAAGGGCAAAAGGTTTGCTTATATTTTTCATGTAGTAAATCATAACTATGCTATATGATGACTAGACAAATTTAAAGCAACTACCAACTAACCTTGGAGTCGTGGTGTGGCGTTGTAGTATAGTAATAAACTGCTAACCACAAGGATTGGGGTTCAAACCCACCTGTCACTCCTCAGAAACTGTATATAGGGTTCCTATGAGTTGGAACCAACTTAAAGGTAATTTATAGCAACTAACTAGCATTAGCTTTTGTAGTATCTTTATTGTCCCTATAAATACCAACAGTGAAGCAATAGAACCTGCCCCTGATGTAAAGGTTGAACAAAGATCTACAAAAATTCATTACAGAAAGGGTTGAGTATATTACATCTGACTTCCAAGTCACACCTACACACATGGGTAACTACCATCAGTAGTACCATGTGTGAACACAGGGAACATTTTAGAAATGAATACAATTCCCTTCCTGAAACTAACCAGGCAACCTTATATTCCAAGCCAGACATAGTTTTACTTGGTTTAAAAAAAATGGCAACAAAGGCAAAGGTAAAAATTTTATTTATGACTATGTGGACACGTGACTTTAGAACCAGAAAGCCAGAGACATAAATAAACTTGAGAAAAAGATCCAAGCTAAAGGATACATACATTTATATATTTGTGTGTGTGTGTGTAAGGCTTCTTGGAGCAGTGTCACAAATCTGGACACCAACCAACAGAATCATTCATGTCCTTTGAAATTTCCATTAAGAGCACAGTGGGGGTAATTATACCAGGATGCTCCAAATCGCTCTTTCCATCTTATGCACACACATGCCCACCAAACATAAAATGTTCACCTTCTTCTTTCCAATGTGATGGTGGTTGAACTTATTTTTAGTGTCATTTGATAAGCCTTTGTGCTCGCAGAAAGACATCCCACTGACCCAGCCACTGGTCATTGTCTATACCAGTTCACATCAAAGCAGGCGCACTTTGTCAGGTTTCGAGTCGAATATCCATTTCGCATCTGAAGTACAGTATCGAAAGTGACTAGATCATTTGAGCTTTTTTCTTCAGCTGCTTCCTTATTCCTCCCCCACAGTGTTTCTACTCACACTAACATAATATGGCATTGCCGACAAGACACGATGGTGGTTTTTCTAAAATATAATACATACATTGTCAATGCTTGTGATGGCCAATCCTCCTGAAAATTTAATTTACAAATTGGTAAAAATAGGTCTTTTTCCTCTACTGAATCATAACCAAGGTGGAGTGCCCCTCAAAATCCAAATAATGTGCACACAGTAATAGGTCATTCAATGTCAAAAGGCATAAAAAGGATGAGCAAAATCTTCACAGGCTGCTGCTTGCTGTTGCTTTTAATTATATTAATTAAACTTTGAAATTTTCATGCAAAGAGAGTTGCTGGCTTGTGACGCTGAAGAGCCCTTGGAGACTTGGAAGAAAGAAAAAACCCTGAGCGGAAGCTTTGTGGTTACAGCTTCCTTTAAATTAAAAACAAAACAAACTCCTAAGTATGTTTACAGATATTGATACTGTATGTGCTACTAAATCTTAAACAAAGAAAAGTGGGATAATCTACCAGACACATGGGCAGTCTCAAATCACAAGTCCTTAAATTCCACTCAAGATCTTTGCTTAGAGACTGTCTTTCTGAAGAAGAACGCTCTATTAATTTTCTTCTTGTCCCAAGTGCATAGTGAAAGGTTTCTTCAAAAACTAAAGGGCAAAATCTTGCTTGTTACTGATATCTTGAGGCATCCTGTCCACATTTTGTCATGCATGTGCACTTTTCAGTGCTAAAATGACAAGATTTTCCAGTCAGAAGCTTCCCGTAAGGCACACTGAGACAGGGGACTTGGAAGGATGCTTTGATCTGATACAGCTATAAGGCAATGGACTCCTTTATTTGCTTAGCCTGGTGGGAATTTTCTGCTTTGACCGTAGCAAATGTTTTCATGTATGAAACTCTCTCCATGAAAAATCCATCATGGCTATTTTTGTAGTCCCTGCTTTGATATCAACTTCATGCTGTAGCATGTTCTGATTGTAGTTTTGTTTTCTCTTCTTCTACACATTGAAATGAACTCTTGTATAAACCATAGCATGCAGTTAAGGATCTTCTTTATTTCAAGGTCATGAATTATGTGTTACCATTGGGTTTCATGGACTTGTGTGTAGACAGCAGAACAAGTGTTTGGAAATGTTTGCTGTAAGCAAAGCAGAAGGCAGAGAAAACATTTTATGCCTGAGAAGAATTAAGTTGCTTTTCCAAAAACTTCTGAAATGTCTTTATTTTCTTAGTTGGAAATCAGCATTGTGAAAATGTGTCATCTTCGTACCTCTTTTGACTTACTGCTTTCCTTTTACTGAGTTGGAACTCGGGAGAAGTTGATACATCGACCCTGAGGAAATGAAAAAATCCTTATTGAGATAATAAAGCAATTATTTAAAAGCATAAAACACCTTGATATATACCATGCTATATATGTTATACATGTGCCCACGCATGCGCACACACACACACACACACACACACACACACGTAGATATACACATATATACACACACATATGTAGTCTCTGGATTTTGAGGGAATTCTATTCTGTTAATTCCATTGTAAGTTGGTTCTGATAAACATGCAATACACTTTCTTTTAAGTTTTCATTACTACTGATTTTATAATCATTATCTTTATAAATCCAATCATGTCATTGGAGGATGAAAACTACATGTAACCTCGCAGATATGATAACATCAGCAGCATATTATGTGCTACAACATTATATTTAGAATGTATTACATATGATAAGATGGGAAAAAAAAGAGGTGGTTGCAAATGTGGCTCATTGTGATAAATCAGAGAATACCTGTCCACATATATATAAGGATGTTCCCTCATACATACACACATATGTAAAGGATTATGCCCCTTCAAAAAAACAAAGCTAAATAAACAAACAAACAAAAAAAACCAGGATAAATGTTAACATGGGACAAAATATCTTCTCCCTTTTTTTTTTTTTTTTACCTACTTGGCCTACTTGGGTTAGTACTCAATGATTATTCCACAGTAAGTTTATTTATAGAATGGTACAGATAGAGTTAGAGTGGAGGAAAAACAACCATTTTGGTAAGTATAACTATGTCATTACTATCTAAAGTATATCATTAGAATCTTAGCAATAAACATTTCAAAGCCACAATCCAATATCCTGCATTGTAAAGCAAATTCAAAAGAAGGTATCCCTTATGCAATCTGACATTTCTAAAAGTATGTACATGAGTAATGCATTTAAGATTTACTAAGAGACAGCAGATGAAAGACGAGAAAAAAATGGAAAGAGATGTAACCCCATTCAATAAAAGGATTTTTCAAGGATCTCTTTAGTGATCTTGCTCACTAACAACATTCTAATTCACACTGCTATTCTAATTCCTTACCAGGTTTAATGAAGGCTTCATGGGAACATTGTTTCATATACAATTATAGATAATCCAAGAATTACTTAAAACAAAACTTCCAATTTGTGATAAGGCTTCCTCTCCATTTTATAACACACCTGATGCACTGCAATATATAACTAGTGGTGGTAGTTATGTGTCGTGGAGTCGATTCTGACTCATTAGCGACACTCTATCTGGTATCCAAAGCTGTAAGTCTTTACAGCGGCAGAAAGCCCCATGTTTCTCCCATGGAACAGCTGGTAGTTTCAAACTGCTGACCTTAAGGTTAGCAGCATGACTCATTTTCTAATATCAGGTTATAATCATATTGAGATTTTTCTGTTTTTCATAATACATGTACTTGAATCATTTCATATTTTAGAAATTTTCTTTTTCCTCCCTGTAAATGTACATTGCCTCATATGCATGTAAAAGCTGGATAATGAATTAGGAAGATCATAGAAGAACTGATACATTTGAGTTATGGTAGAGAAGAATATTAAATGGACCATAGGCTGCCAGAAGAACAAACAAATCTGTGTTGGAAGAAGTACAACCAGAATGTTCTTTACTATTCAGGATGACCAGACTTGTCTCCCATACTTCAGACATATTATCAGGAGAGGCCAGACCCTGGAGAAGGACAACAATCTTGGTAAAGTGGAGGTTCAGTAAAAAAAGAGGAAGACCCTCAAGGAGATGGATTGGCACAGTGGCAGAAGCAATGGGCTCAAGTGTAACAACAATTTTGAGGATGGTGAAGGACCAGGCAGTGCTTCATTCTGTTGTGCATAGGGCTGCTCGGAGTCAGAACCAACTTGATGACACCTTGTTTCTGTTTTCGTTGTTAAGTGCCATCAGGTGGGTTCTCATAGCAACCTTATGCACAACAGAATGAAACACTATGCTGTCCTGCACCATCCTCACAATCAGCACATAACAACAACGTGTGAATAATAGTTTCTTTTAAATATCTGATATATTGTCATGGATGTTCTAAACTAAAATGAAAAGGGACAAAAAATATTGTTAGAAAAGAACACAGGGCATATAAAATCAGGTTTCATGTATATTTTTCCCTCAGAAATGATTATTAAGAAAATCTGACAATTATAGAAATTAAGTGAACACTGAAAAGCACAGAAAGAAAATAAAGCTAAGAGTTTCTATTAGCTTTTGATTAAATGCAAGCACTCATAAATTATCTCTTGTAAGTCATTTTAAGGGCTGGTCCAGCCCTTTTTTTTTTTTTTTTACTAGCTCTGTGCCTAATTCTGAAAATGTTGTTGTAAAAAGAAA